CGGAGACTCGGGCGGGTCGGGTTGCTGGGCTCCTTCGGCGTGAGCGGCGTCGAAATGCTGCTTGGCGGAGTCAACGTCCTTGGCCTGAATCGCGACCCTCATGGCGAGCCTCAGATACTCCGGCATCGTGATCCTCCGCCGCAGCTCCTCCTTGGGAATACGCGCTCCGGCCAGCGTGCAGCCCCTGATCGAATCGATCACCGACGCTCGGCCGGAGGAGCGGCTGCCGGACTCCGCCGTTCGCGGCGATCCCATCACTACTGGAAGATATAATCACTTCCCTGCTGCTCCACGAATCAATCACAACGGCACTGGGGAGAATTTAAAATATGAATTTGGGGGAATGCAATAAATACGCCCAATGGGGATGGAGTGATGCGAGAGAGAAATTAAAGATGCAAAAAATGTGAAGAAAGCGATGGGATGCGAGAGAGAGAGAAGTAAAGAAAAGAGAGGGGACCGAAAGAGTATTTACAACGGTAGTGGGAGGGGGACATCAGCAACAAATGCAAAATATTGCAGTTTTTTTCTCCTTGTGTCATTAATCCAACCCACACTTCTATAAATATCCTTGCTTTTTTTATTCAAAGTAAATACATTTTTGTCACTTAAATAAAATTTAAATATTAAGTAGTGCACATTAGTTCCAAGAGTGCACCTTTGGTCCTAAAATCCTAGATAGAGCTCACACGCATGAAAATTACGAGAATGATTCATCTGCTCCATTTGAATTCTCTAAAGTATCATTTCCCAAAATTATCCTCTTTACATAAATGTTCAGGAGTAAATCGTGCAAATTCTAAAGAGTTCAGAAGATATTTGGTGCACTTTTGAATTTTTTAAGGGTACATCCTGTAACTTCTCAAAAATTTTTCTTAATAATTACCCATTAATTCTAGTAGCTGAATCAATTCCAAGATTAGCGTCGGCGGTCACATTTGAATGAGCGAGCTGAGGAAGATTCCACTGAGTCAACTCGTTTGCCGTTTGTTACACGGTTTGGACTTGAGTATTCAAATTCATTCGTAATTACTTTCATGGGTTATATATCTATAATAATGGGCGTTAGGATTCAAAACATTATTGAAATGTCCTATATGTCCTCCGATTTTTATGATCTTAGCAAATATTTTGCTGAACTACAATAATAATGTTATTGTAAGACATCGGTGGCAATATATGACGCCCAAAATCTTTTAATATACAAAGGGCAGAAAGATGAATAGTACACTTTTCCGCCCAACTTAATTGGATATGGTTTGGGATATGGTTTAACCAAATTAGATATATGTAATTTAAATTAATACTTTATGAAAAAAGTGTAACTTAAATAAATACTTTATGGGAAAATGTAAAAATTATGTGAAAGAGTAAAAGTTTATGAGAAAGTGTAACTTAAATAAATATTTTATGAGAAAATGTAAAAAATTGTGGGAAAGTGTAAAAGTTTATGGAAAAGTCTAACTTAAATAATTACTTTATGAGAAAGTATAAAAGTTTATAAGAAAAAGTAAAAGCATGATATGACGGTTTGATAATGTCGAATGCTTTAGGCTTGTTTTCCGTAAAAGAAACACCATTTTTTTTCTAGGTTATTTTCAAACCACGTCTCATCATCAAACTTTTTTTATTATCTTATTTCTCTTCCGATCCAAACAAATTCTAATTACCCACTATTCAACATATTTTTGACATTTTTTTCAATCCATGTGAAATCAAAGTGAGAAAACTAATTTGGAATGGAAAGTAGTCACTTATAAATTATATGGAAGGAGTATATGTGAGGGTAAGAGTAATAATTGTGATATATACCTTTTTTTTATTAAAAATCATTCTCCAATGGTAGAGATAAATAAAGAGACATTATATCTTCTTCAATTTTGAAAAGGTATACTTACCTTCTTCATTTGGAGAGGTATATCAATTTTTCCCACCTTTTAAATATCTATCAATTACTTTAGTTATTGTATTTTTTTGTATATTTGCTTGAATGTACTATTATAAATTTTTAATTTGTATCTATTAGAATATAAATAACTGTTCCTGGGCCACAACCACAAGCTTGAGCTTTTAGTTGAGTTGGTTCCTTGACATGTTATTGGAGCCTCGTTGACTGAGAGGTCACATGTTCGAAACTCAGCGACACCCAGTTTAAAAAAAATTAAAGTTTCACGTGCAAGGCTCGAAAAAAGACTACACCTGCACGTGAGGGGACGTGTTAGAATATAAATAACTGTTCCTGGGCCACAACCACAAACTTGAGTTTTTGGTTGAGTTGGTTCCTTGACAGTATCTTTGTAATTGTAAAACTTAACGAGTCAAAAATTAACAAGAAGAGTATGCTTTTTTTTAAAATTTTGTACTCTGTATTTTTAAGTTTTTTCTACTCGAGTATTTATAATTTTACATGTGCAATTGGACATAATGTATATTTAATTATTTGAAAACTGACATTCTAATTTTTTTTCCCAATAAATTAGTTGGATTTTTATAAAATCTTTAAATTAAAAAAATTAATCAAGAAGAAACAAAGGCAACAAATCTCAAATTTACCTCCCATGACTTTTTTAAGAAGGTATGTTTTCTTTTCTAATAATTGAAATTTGATTTAAGAAGGTAAATCAACTAATTTTTTCCCATTAATGTATGGAGATGGATTTTTCCCTCTTTTGCCTTTTGATTTACCTTCTTCCATTGGAGTTGCACACTTTTTGAAAAGTTAAACTTGATGGCTTGGAGGGGTAAATGAGATATATACCTCTCCAAGATACCTCCCAAGATGCTGCAGTAGTAGATCATATCCCCGCGTCCGCCCATGCCTCATAAATGAGTTGGGTTGCATTTCTGTTGGGGGATTAACTGCTTCCCTTTTTTTAACTCTCACCACATGGGGTGCCACTTCTAACTTCTAACCACCCTCAACTAACTCTTTTCCATCCTTGTAAAATCAGTACCGGAGTAGCATGTTGTTCGTCATGAAAGAAAAGGGCACCTTACCTTTTTTGCCATCAGTACAGCATGACAAAAACAGCAATGTTTTACACCAAGAACATGTTTCCCTTTTTTTTTTAAAAAAAAAGGAGGATTCATTACCTTTGCATTTTTTTCGCCAAATGTCCGAGTGCGCCAAAGCCTTTCCCCTCCGGGTTTCGCTTATCGCAGCACTTGCAACTGCGAATGTTGAGATTAGTGCCGCATTTCAAGCAGAGGCCTTTGCACTGGGGATCACAGATGGCATTCAGAGTGATTTCTAGGTGCACTCGGTCTCTTATATGCTTCGATATGTCAATGCTTCTCTTTTCGGCAGGAAAGTGAAGTTGGTCTTCAATATCGATCAGAGAATCGTCGGCCTCTCTATCTTCAATAGATCCGGATTTCTTTGATCCAATAATTATGCCCATGTCTAGAGTCTCCGGTTCCTCAACCGGCGGTTCTTCACTCAGCAAGAGAGAGAAGTTGGAAAAAACACTTACGGCAGCTGGTTCGCCACACCTTCAATCGGAATATGCAGCCTCATAAAACTCGAAGAGAAAACAGAACAAATATGAGGAAGAATACAATAGCTTCACGGGGGGAGGGGTAACAACAACAAGCAAACCCATTAGAATTCTCAAAGACTTAGGGTCTGGGAAGGGTGGGTGTAGACAATTACACCTTACCCCTACCAAGAACTAGAGAGGTTTTTTCCATGAGATTGAAAGAGGGTATTCCTACCTATTAAGAAATATGAAAAAAGAATTCAATAGCTTGACGGAGGGTAATAACAACAGGCAAACCCTGAAGAATTTTCAGGAAAATGAAGTCTATGAAGGGTATGTCTACGAAGACCTTTCTCCTACTAGAAAGTAGAGAGTTTGTTTCAAAGAGCTCGATGGAGGGTCTTCCTCCCTATAAAAATGCAGCCTCCACATTCATTTTTTCTACAAGCATTTTGAGCATTCCTACTAACTGTGTTCAGAAACACACTCTAGAAGATCGAAAAAATGTGAGCGGATTGGATCTTCTAAAGATTGTTTTGGCAGTTCTCCATCCCAGAAATCAATATGAACTGTCAATGCAAGAACCCCATAGCCACAGAGGATCTGTTTCTACAAACGCCGAGCACCCTGACGCCTGCTTCACCCCACCTTCCAATGTAATCGTCTCTGCAACTCTAGAGCAGAACTCATACCTATGGGCAATGCTTCTTGTTTCAATTTTATTTCTTCTCGTTGGGGTTTCCCCTCGTGAGAGGAGAAACCAAAGAAGTAATGAATAATGATGGTAGACATAGTCATTGACAAACATAGTAGCCAATCAACATCCCAACACTTCACATAGCATAAGGAAATCAGGGCAGAAAACAATAGTTTTAATTTCGATGTTCTACTGCGGGAAAAAATGTCAGTACCTGTTGCAACCGAGAGTAATGACGGTCCGGATGATGCCATCGAGCCTGATTTTGCCCTGCTTAATAGTTGTGTCGAGGGAAACGAGCACCGGCGTGCCTTCCGGATAATCCGTGACATCTTTGGTAACCCTAATTCCCATCAGCGAAGCGCGGGACCTGGAAACCTCGGTGGAGAGCTTCCCAAGACCCAGCCTTTCTAGGGTTGTGCAGTACTCCAAATGCGAGACGGAGGGGTTCCTTCCGTACACCACCGCGCCTTCCCACGGCGACTCCTCGTCCTCCTCCTCCTCTTCTCCTAGCTCGATTTCGCCCCAATCGAAATCCGAACCGTTTTCATCATCGATTGGGGGGAAACTGTGAGTTCTAACTGCGAGTTTCAAGCTCCGAGGGAGTTCTCTAACATGGATAATGGTGTTCCTTCTTTCAACAATGGCGGACAAAGTGTTGTGGTTGTTGTGTAGCCTGGCGGGATAGAAACATGACAATATAGACTTTGGGGAGAACACTAGCGCCATTTCCGACCGGTAGCACGGAGGCCGAATAACACTCTTTAGATTCTGGATGTAGAAGTATGGAACTATGACCTAATAGCACGGAGGCCGAATAACAATTTCTCTTTAGCACCAATATCCCCTCTTACTCTCTTTTCAAAATTCTATATATATATATATATATATATATATATATATATATATATATATATATATATATATATATATATATATATATATATATATATGTAAAAGAGAGTTAGATAGTTGTGGTGATGACACGTGCATACTACTGACATGTGTCATGCCACATGTAAACCACAAGCCACATGTCACTTAATTTTGTATTAAATTATTATTTTTATTATATTTTATAAACCCTTCACTTTCCAACAATAAAAAACCATTATGTTTGTTCTTTTTTTTTGTAAAATTTTCACTTTCTAACTATTTTAGAAATATTTTTTTGTCGTTCTAAGATATTTTTTAAATATGCACGACTCTTTTATAATATTAAAAAATTTATATAAAATTTATTAATTAAAAAAAATATTTCTTATAATTTTTAAAATTATCTATCATCTCAAAAGAAACTATTATATACAAATTTTATCACACATGCATCTTTATTAAGTTCATAACATATTTTAATCTTATGTCTTATTACATTATTTATTTAATTACATATTTTTTTTAGCAAACTAAACACACACACTGAAAGTTTAATTGAAAAATTGAGTAAAATTCTATAATTGGTCCTTTATAATAGGGGGGTTTCCCTATTTAGTCCTCTATTATCAAATATTACCTCAATGGTCCTTTCTTTTATGGGTACCTTTTCACAAATAGTCCTTTTTTGATCTTCTATTATGTTGGTGTTAATTTGAGGGCTAAAAGTGTAATTTCACAATGATAATATATCTTTTTTGTCATACACAATTCCAAAGGCTGTTCCGTTTGCGTCGTTTGTGAATTACAGTCGCTTTTTACAACAACGATAGTCTACAAATGTAATCTTTTGTCAGAATCCTAGCCCACAATCATAGTCATTATTTTTGTGTTATCCGCTTAACCAATATCAGAACACGTCACTAGACATAATGTTGATGTCAAATTATACTTTTAGCCTTTAAATTAACACCAACACGGTAGAAGATCAAAAAAGGATCATTTCTGAAAGGTACCCTTAAAAAAAGGACTACAGGGCTAATATTTGATAATAAAGGACTAAATATGGAAACTCTTCTGTTATAAAAGACCAATTATGGAATTTATTACATGTGGCACATAACAGACATGCATTCTCTAATGATGTGTCATTGCTTAATTGATTTATTTGACATTTTTATTTTAATTTTTATTAATTAAAACAATATTCATTATTTTTTATTTGATGACCATTACATTTGTATAAAACTTTAAAATAGTTAGAAATTATTTATCAAACACATTATATATCATTATTAATAATTTATTAAAATAAATGATATTTTATTTTTAGATTTCAAAATTTAGAATATATATGAGCCCGTGCGAAGCACGGGGTTGATACTAGTTTATTTTTAAAATTCACGTGGTTTTAAAACGTTGCACTCACATTACCTTTGATCATTTTCTGGTCATTTCCCGGCGAAGAGGGTGCATTGTCGCATAATTTCTAAACCATATGGGGCACTCATGCTCATTTCTTATTTTTCGTTTATTATTTGTGTTTTTCCTTCTTTTTCCTTTTCCTAGATTTTTTTTAATTTTTTTTCAATTTTTTATAATGTTTTAAATTTTTTTAAAATTCTTTGTGTTTGAACTAATAAAAAAAATTAACATACATTACATCTATCTCAAATTAAACATTTTCACTTTTTCTTACATAGAATAATTTTTTGGAAAGTTCAAAAAGAAAACCCAAAATAACTATATGGAAAAACGAAATGAAAAAATTAAAATACGAAAAAAAGAGTCTTCTACAAAACACAATTTTGGAACACGCCTAAAAATATCCTTAAAATTGAGATGTCCAAAAAGGACAACCATTTTTATTTTTGTATTATTTTGTTTTTTATTTTATTCATCATTTTTTAGAAGTTCTAAAAAAATTACCTTTTTTCAGAAAAAACGAAAATTGTTAATTTGAGACGTGTCGATGCATTATATGTTAATTTTTTCAAACAAAAATAACTTTAAATTTTAAGAACATTATAAAAGTAATTGTAAAATAACCTTTATTAATAAATGAAACAAATAAAGAGAAAAAATGGGAAAAAAGAGAGAAATAAAAAATCAGCACTGGTACCCCCCATGGTTTAGAAAATATGCACGAATGCCCCCTTCTTCACCAGAAAATGACCAGAAAATAATCAGAGGGGGCACAGGTGCAGCGTTTTGAAACCACAAGGACTTTAGAAACCACGGGGGGTATTGTTGCCTATTTTGCAAACCACGGGGGTACTGACGCTATTTGGCCATAGAACTATAGACTAGAATTTCCCTTTGTATAAAAAATGACTTTGTAAACACAAATTTGAATAGCTAAAAATCTTAAAATACTACTAGAGGTATGTAGTGGGAAAAAAATACAAACCAATTGCAAGCTTTGAATATGTAAAAACAAAACTCGAGGCTAGGATATATTTTGTATTTGTAAAGTTGTAGCCACTAAGTGTAGTGGCTACCAAGTATACTTGGTGGCCAAGTGTACGTGATGGTCAAACATTAGGTAGTATAAATATGTAGATTATAGTAATGCTAAATATTGTGAGCCAAAAGAAAAAGAAAAGGAAAATACTATATATATTAAATTAAATCAAAATGGATGGCACGTTTGTTGTCCCTTGCACCGGGCTGACTTACGAGCCAACAATTGCCATGTTTGCCAGCCGAATTGGTCGCTTAATTTTGGTCGCTTAAAATCCAGTACATTTAGTGGCTACTACACTTGGTGGCTACTAGAGTTGGCAATCGGGTCAATCGGATCGGTTTCAGAATGGATTTTTTCGATTCAGGTATCTTTCGGATATATGTTATAATCAGTTCGATTTGGTTCGGATCGGTTTGATTTCGATTCAATTCGTTGAAATAGCAATTCACTATTAGAATAATGTGGCCTTTTAGGGTTATAAATAATGTAGTTATTGTAAGACAGATAGTGAATTGCTATTTCAACGAGTTTAATTTTGGTGGTTTGCTGAGCGAATATGAATTGGAAAAACATTGTTCTCTCGTTCTTACTAGATAAAGACTGCATGGATATTATCTTGTGAAACCAAATATTTAAAATGAAAGTAAATCCTTAGGTTTTCGAATGTCTTGTACTTTTCTACACTTGCTAGAGAAGTAATTCAGAGGTACGTCTAGATATATGTATTTGGACTTATAAAGGCACTAGGCCGCACGATTATTGTTCAAATGGAATCACTCCCAAGAATTTTAGATGTAAAGCTCACTTACATTTGATCCCGAACGAGAACATTGACTCTACGTGCTTCACCAAATTAAGAAAATATGTATGAACAAATATTGTATCACTAAGACTAGAAAATGTACTCACACATTAGTGTACCCAAACATTTTTATTCGGGTGTTGAGAATGTTATGGACTACTATTATTAGGAGTAGACATAATTTATGACCGCCCTATAATTTCGTAGTGTATTAAGAATATTCCAAAAATATATTTTAGAATCAAAACTCTTCATATAATAATGTTGTTTCAAAAGGGAATGGTATCATAATAATAATGAATTAATGACCCATATATGAAGTGAGCAGCTGATCTCGCAAACAAGGTTAGGGCCGGGAGGCAGCCAAATGGAAGCTATATATATATATATATATATATATATATATATATATATATATATATATATATATATATATATATATATATATATATATATATTGGTTCAGGTGAGAATGCAATCTAATGAAAGAAATAAGAATGAATCTGGTGCATTAGATTGGGAGATCTAAGGGTTAGGATTGCATCAAAATTAGGTGCACCAAGATGGTTTGAAAATGCATCATGTTGAAATGCACCATAATCCTTTGAAAATGCACTATCTCAAAATTTGAGTGCAGAATGCAATCTGAGTCGCACGATGCATCAGATCCAAAGGTCAGATTTTATTCTTATTTCTTTCACCAAGGTGCATTCTCACTTGAACCAGCCCCTATATATATATATATATATATAGTGGTCAACTACTTTAATTAGCAAGTCAATCTGATCTTTATCACTTTATTAGTCTTTTTTCTTGATTGATTGACAATTTCGTTTTTATCTGTTTTGTTATCCCATTTCGGTATTGACAAGGGCCATTTCACTCTCTGTGGGTGCACTCTATATAGTAATCCGTAGTGATAGAGAAAAAAAAGCAATTAAGAGCCCAAAAACTGTTGCTAGCTAGCTAGAATTAGCATGATAACATCACTTTCAGGCTCTCTATGGGCTTCTCTCCTGAGTTTCATGGTGTCATCATGCTTCTTCATATGCTTTCCATTGGCACAACATTCCTTTACAACCACCTGTGATCATCATCATCACAGATTGGTCAATTCTAGCTTCGACAACGTGCATCTCATCAACTCGTGAGAACCTCGGCGCTTATCTCATCCCATACATGTTTTGCTCTTTTGAAATTAAACGTTGTTATATTTGTAGAGTTATATTTATAGATAGAAATGTGTGTGTGTTTGTGATCCAGCGGGGACGAAGAAGTAGGAAGACGGAGATCAAGCGCCCAAATCAATTCTGAAATGGAGAATGTTGATTTTGATAACAATGCCACTTGAGTTCGATCAGTAGTTGTTGAATTCACCTTTGAGGCCGATTCGGCTCCCTTCCAAAGCTGTCACGCTTCCACTGTTGTTCAGGTTAAGGGCCGTATTTCCCACAACTTCTTCCGGCATTTCAAATTGGCGCATCAATACAATTTTTTTTTTAAAAAAAATACATACGCTACCTTCATTTGGCTGAAAAATTTGTTGACGAATAATTTTTTGAGTAGCATATATTTAACTTCTTAGGTGAGTGGAGATGAATTCTTGGTGGCATATTTTGGTGGCACAGCTGAGGGGGCCCCTGATGTCAAGATTTGGATGCAAAGTTACAAGGTGATATGATCCATCTTTTTATTAATGTTCTTGAATAGCATTCCTTTTTCTTTGGATCATAGCACGCACTCTTACCTTCTTCCCCTCGATGAACTAACCACATGGTTTAGAAACATAAGGATAACAAACACTACTCAGTCTTTAAAAAAAACCAGACTCATTTTTAAACTAAATCTTTACATGTGTGATGTGTTTTTTTAACTGTATGTAGTAGAATGGGAGTTGGAGTCCCCCTGTTGTAGCGGACGAGGAACCGGGTGTCCCAATGTGGAATCCTGTGCTATTCATGCTTCCTTCTCGTGAACTGCTTTTGTTCTATAGAATTGGGAAAGACGTTCAAAGGTAAGTTGCGTTTTTTTTCCTTCTCGGGCCAACATTTCGAAACAAGGGTTCATTTCGATAGGTTAGTGGGGAGAGTAATTAATTAGTCACGCGTTTGATGAACATATATAGTTGGAGCGGATGCATGAAGAGATCTAATAATGGCGGTATGACATGGACAGAACGAGAGCAGCTTCCTCCTGGTATATTAGGACCCATAAAGAACAAGGTATATATGAACCTACCCCCTTTTCTGGTCTCATATTAGCTAGCTAGCTAGCTGCAAATAATGTTTCTACTAATTATATTGTATCCAGCCTTTATTACTAGAAAATGGAACATTGCTCTGCGGATCTTCAGTTGAGAGCTGGAATTCTTGGGGATCGTGGATGGAGGTGGGTAGCGTAAACCTCATTGCAGGCAACTCACTCATTCATCAACTTAACTTTGATCATTATTGAGTTAGCCCTTTTTTAAACGAGAGTTACAGATGACGAGTGATTCTGGGTGTGATCAACACTCTCGGTGTGATCCAACCCGTCCCCTATCAGGCTGCAGATGGGACCTTGCGAGTTTTACTGCGCTCATTTACTGGCCTAAATAGAACTTACACCTCCCTGTCCCGTGATGGTGGTGTTACCTGGGATCACGCAAAGCCCACTCCTTTGCCGAACCCAAATTCAGGTTACCAAATACAGATCACGCAAAGTTGTGTGCATATATGTTCTTCATTCACATTAGCTTATTTATTTCGCTCTTGCTTGCTTGCTACTTACCACCATGAACATGAAACAGGAATTGACGGTGTTAAAGTGAGGGATGGTCGGCTCATTGTGGCGTACAACACAGACTCGAAAGCGGTTCTCAAAGTGGGAGTCTCTGAAGACGATGGAGAATCGTGGCGTGAGGTTGCAACGCTAGAGGATACCCCGGGGAAGGAATTCTCTTATCCAGCCGTCATCCAGGCCACCGATGGATCTGTCCATATCACCTACACCCACAACAGAACTCAGATCAAGGTGGTGGTGATCGATGTCCTGTTTCTTTTTCTTTTCTTTCCTTTTTTTCTCCTTTTAACTTAAAAACAAAGTGGGAGAGGAGTAAATATGGACACCGAAATCCTGACGAAGGGACCGGAGCAAAAGAAAGTTGTGAATACGGAGTATTAGTTAGCTAGCTTGTTAGATATATCACATTATTATTAATAATGCAGTGTTTGATGTCATTCTGTTGCAGCATGTAGTGTTGAAGATCTCTTGATGATGAAGAGAACTGGGCCTGCTGCATGCAACAAGATGATCTTGCTTGCTTGCTTGTTTGGATGCACGAACGATTCGTGAAGATATGTATATGTATATTGGTTCCTATATATGTTTAAGTGTTGGGATGACCTATCTATCTATCTATCTATCTATCTCATCAAGTGAATGTGTAAGTGTAATGGACTATCAGCTTTGGTTGTATGCATTCTTTTGTTATTGGAACGTTTCCATTTGTTGTCTATTTACTATGGGCTAGTTTGGTCGTTTAGCATTAGAGCTTTTAGATAAAATTTTAATGGTGCAGATTTACTTTGAAAATGCTAACGTTAAAGGCTCCCCCGCAAATAATCTTTTTCAAAACGCTAACACTAATTTCTAATTTTATTCCCAAATAAACCCATATCTACCTCGCATTAGCAAGAAAATTGTTTCTCCGTACATTGTTGTCATTACCAAATATGTGTTTCATTTCAATAAAAAAAATGTTAGTCATCTTTTGGTTTTATTTTGGAATGATAACATACTTCACTTTTTGTTTTTTGTTATTGGTACTCTAAAATAGTGCAACATGAAGTGTCAATATAAAAAATTAGACTCTTAATACTATTTCTCTTAATTTTATTCTCAAGACTACAAAAAATTATTCTCCATAAGTTTTAATATCTTTGATATTTATAAAAAATAGAGAAAATGAGAAGTATAATATGATCATCAAGCTCTCACTTGAGTCACTTGATAATGATGATTACATTAAAGTCTAAAAGGCTAGTGTGATTGATTAAATCGTACTCGTATAAGTATAATATGTAAACAATAATTGACTCCGATACCACATTTTCTCATTAAAATACTTGCATAAACTTTCATTTGGGAATTTGATATTGGATGTGTGTCTGCATTACAAATCCATTCTGGTGCACTCTTCTAACCAAACTTGATATTCTCAATAATATTCCCTACGATCGGATATTTTTTTCATTTGAATTTTTAAATTCTTAATATAGTATTTTGACTACTAATATATTTATTTATATGTAGAATTCGCTCTCTCCTTGATCTATTTGCGTACTTAGTTCAAGAACTTAGCTTGCTATTTCCTACTCGCTGTTTGGTGTACCCCTAGCTATTATCTATTTATAAATCAACAAAATTCATTCCCAAAAAAAACCCCAATAACTCAAAAAATATTAATACAAATTAATAACTTTGTTCATAGCCTATGATTCTTATGAACATTTTAAAAACATAAACATAAATCCATAATTTTAAAGTATGAATAAAAATTGACATAGTGTACTATACCTTTCATAAAATTATCATTCCGCTTTTATGAATATATCCTAAAAATTATTTGAAATATGTCAATTTTTTCGTGAACCTAAGATACATGCTCATTGTGTAGACCTTAGTGTATTTGAATTATAAAATAAGTGTATTTTTTTCAAAAAATAAAATACATAGATTTACGCCCACGAAAAAATGTGAAAATATTCATACTTTAATTTATGGATGCACTTAATTATGTAAATAATGTAATCTTAAAGTATTTGCGTTTAATATCAAACTGATGGGTAATAACCCAAGGATACCACCCGGTTGGTTCACCGGACTGGGTGGTGATGGAAGTGACAACACGCGCCTTTCTCAGCTCGGGTTATTTGACCGGTTGGATGGGGAGACCGGACGCCAATACCCGAAGATCTATTTTCGAAGTACACCTGGTGGGCCGGTCAGCCGCCTGACCGGTTGGATAATCAGAGACGTGCTTGACATGCTTAGGATTATTATAAATACCCCAAAAAGCCTCATTTGTGAGGCATGCTTTAATTAACCTGCACGGCTTGTATTTGTAATAACTCCTATTATCATTAATAACAAATCGGGTTACAGGTGTTTCCACCTACAACCCTTCCGATTACTCATACTTAGTATTTGCGTGATAATTTACACCATCAAATTGGCGCCACCCGTGGGACCTATTACAAAAAGTCATGACAAGCAATCAAGAAACCGTCATCTCACAAATCTCTACTCCCGTTGAGAACGTCGCCTCGTTCCCGGGAGGGAGTACACAACCCTCAAACCAGATTCCTACCCCCATGTTCTCTATTCCAACACCTACTCCATTCACTTCCCCCGTCACCTCTATCCCTATTTTTCCTCCAAATTTTCCCGGGCCCATGGACCCGCTGTTTTCACAGGCATTCCAAAATTTTGGGCAGTTCATGTCCATGTTTCAGCAACCGGGAGGATTTTCACCTTTTATTCCAGGATTGTACCCACAATCCTCGCCTCAAACTAACATCATTCGCCCGGTCATCCCGACAAACCTAATCGGGGAGATGGACAAAGCAGGTCCATCCCGATCCAGAAGGAGCCGGTCCCGCAGGTCGCAGACGAAGGTGACCTCGGATGGGGATGTGCGTTCAGTCCATAGCAAAGATGAGGATTGGGATGTTCCCCAAGCGCTCAAAAAATTGAAGGGGAAGGCCGTTCAACCAGAAGGATCTAGGAGGTCGGCCTTTCAAAGGCTGGGACACGATGGCCGAAATCAAAACCGGTCAGCAAAGGAGCGGTTGGGGGTGGAGACCATCCCGGCTAGTGCCCTTAATCGTGTAGGGGAACGAGCCGGACGACCTGGTCAGACCAGGCGAACGGAACTACCCCCACGAGATGAGCCCCAGCACAGCCGGGCACCACGAGAGGAGAAAGCAGAAAGTCACCCCAGGCACACGACTCGTACCCTTGTTGAACCACGGGATCGTGTGGGCTGGGTTGAGGCACGTCTGGAGAAACTACAGCGCCGGGTAGACCGGGAGGAAAAGAAGAAAATCCTGTTGAACGAATCCCCGTTCACAGATCGGGTTCATGAAATCCCATTTCCAAAGAAGGCAAAACTTGAGGTCCCAAAGTTCACCGGGAAGGAGGACCTGGAAATTCACGTCAAAACCCTCCATCAAAGCGGGCGGATGATGGGTCTTTCCGGGGATGAGAAATGTTTGCTTTTCTTTCAAACCCTCCGCGGCCGCGCCGCTGAATGGTTTCATAACTTACCGGCCGGTGAAATCGACTCTTTCGATGAACTGGCTGAGGTGTTTCAAGAAAAGTTCAAAGAAAACTGTACCAAGAGGAAAACATTTACCTACTTGAGTACAGCCGGGCAGCGAGAGCACGAGGATCTGACAAAATTCCTTATCCGGTGGAAGGATGAGGTTGACAAGGTGGAGGAGATGGACGACAAAACATCCATGTCCCTCCTTGTGTCCGGGCTTCCGATCCGGAGAGTTGTATAAGGAATTCTGCAGGAGGCCTCCCCAGTCCTACCAGGAGACCTACAATACAGCTTGGGATTATGCTGACGCTGAAGCACAGGTGTCATCCAAAAGGGAGGCCGAGCAGGGCCATCCCAAAGGAAAGATTTCCTTGAAGAAGGAAATTGAACTGCCCGGTAGAGCAAAGGCTGAAGTCATGGAGGTAAAGCCGGTCAAATCAGAGAAGAAACCGACTGGCGAAAAACAATGGATGGAGAAGTATTGCTCTTTCCACAAAACTGATTCCCATAACACTGCGGAGTGCAACAGTGTGAAGGGAGTAATTAAGCAGATGATAGAGGCCGGGGAGATTGATCCGGAATATTTGGCCCAAGCCAAACAAAAGAAAAACCAATGGGTTAGGCCTGAAGGACAGCCGGCCGAACAGAACAAGAAGAAGAAAGCAGCCGGCAAGGAGCATTTACAGGTTATCTACGGTGGACCGGAAGGGGGAGATTCTGCTTCCCAAAGAAAGAAATGGGGGCGAGAACTCTACGTTGGAGCGGTGGCCCTAAATCCCTGGTCGAAACAAGCGAGACGGGAACCGATCACTTTTACTGACCGGGATCTTCCCGCCACCAGAGAAGATCACAATGACCCCTTGGTCATAACTATGGACATAGGTGGGGTCGATGTCTCCCGGGTGCTTGTTGACACGGGCAGTAGTGTTAACGTATTGTACTTGGATGCATTTGAGAAGCTCAAGTTGTGTCGAACATGGCTTAAGCCCTTAAAGACTCCCCTGTCTGGGTTTACCGGGGACTTAGTCAAAGCTGAAGGGTCGATCCTTCTAACCTGTGAGCTGGGCACAGGCGAGCAGGTCGTCCAAAAACAAATGAGGTTTGTGGTTGTGAACATCAATTGTGTTCACAATGCCATTTTGGGCCGGCCTGGGATAAACAAGGTCCTTGGAGTCATCTCCATGGCCCTTCTCTGTATGAAGTTCTATACCCCGGGCGGTATAGGACAAGTCAGAGGAGATCAAAAGAAGGCCCGGCATTGCTATTTGGAAGCTGTAAAGAAAATGACGAAGGCCTTTGAGAGAGTCACTTTGGTCTCTCAGGAGGAAGACCGGTCAAAGTTAGAGCCGGGTGATGAAACTGAGCAGATTGTCCTCCGGGAAGCTTTCCCGGAAAGAATGGTACGGATTGGCAGAGACCTGCCCAGAGGACTTCGAGATGAAATCATCTCAGTCCTTCGGGAATATGCAGATATTTTTGCGTGGAGTGTGGCGGACATGCCAGGCATTAACCATTCTGTCATATGCCATCGTTTGGCTGTGATGGAAGGGAGCCGGCCTGTGAAACAGAAGAAGAGGCACTTGGCGAACGTCCGGAGGGACTTTGTGAAAAAAGAAGTGAAGGATTTTTTGGCAGTCGGGCACATAAGAGAAGTACAATACCCGGCCTGGTTGGCTAACGTCCCCCTGGCTCCAAAAGGCGACACCTGGCGCATGTGCGTGGATTACACGGATCTGAACAAGGCGTGCCACATGGATTCATACCCGCTGCCTAGTCCCGATCAGATGGTCGATGAGACGGCCGGGTGTGAATTGCTCAGCTTCATGGACGCTTTCAAAGGCTACCATCAGATTTTCATGGCTGAGGAGGACGAGGAGAAGACTTCCTTCTTGACTCCAGAAGGCACTTATTGCTACCGGGTGATGGCCTTTGGACTAAAGAATTCGGGCGCCACTTACCAAAGGATGGTAAACCGGCTTTTTAAGCCACTCCTCGGTAAATCCATGGAAGCTTATGTGGACGATATGCTGATCAAAAGCCCGGGCGCGACAAATCACCCGGCTGACATAAGGCTTTGCTTCGAGATTATGGCTAAGTACAGCTTGCGTCTCAATCCCAAGAAATGCGTCTTTGCTGTAAAGACCGGTAAGTTTCTAGTGTTTATGGTGACCAAGCGTGGTATTGAGCCTAATCCGGAGAAGATTAAGGCCATAACAGAGATGAGGTCGCCTAGTTCGCTGAAGGACGTACAGCGACTTACCGGGCGGTTGACAGCCTTGAGTCGTTTTCTCTCCCGGTCTGCTGAGAGGGCTCTGCCTTTCTTCAAGGTTCTGAAGAAGGCTAATACATTCGAGTGAGACCGGGAATGCGAAGAAGCTTTCCAGCAGCTGAAGAAGTACTTAGTCTCTGATATTGTTTTGTCTAAACCCAAACCGGGTGAGACTTTGTATTTGTATCTGGGCATTTCCCAAAACGCTGTAAGCTCTGTTTTAATAAGAAATGAAGATGGCCAGAGGCCTATTTACTCTGTGAGCAAAGCACTGAATGGTGCTGAAAGCCGGTACACTGCCATTGAGAAAACGGCATACGCAGTTTTCATAACGGCCAAAAAACTGACCGCGTATTTCCAAGCTCACATTGTGGAAGTACTAACCGATCAGCCACTTGGGCCGGTCCTCCAAAATTCAACCTCCTCAGGGCGATTGATCAAGTGGGCGATGATGCTCACTCAGTTCAAAATAGAGTACAAACCAAGGACCGCAATCAATGGTCAAGCTTTGGCAGACTTCCTCGTCGAACTAACCGGTCTAGAGCCCGAAGCCGGACCTTCTCATACGGTCGAACCGTGGTGGGACATGGCCGTTGATGGGGCCTCTGGACCGAAGGGATGCAGAGCCGACATAGTCTTCACTACTCTAGAAGGGTTCAAAATCTACCATGCCTTGGTTTTCAACTTCAAGCTTACCAACAATGAGGCGGAGTATGAGGCACTGACCGGAGGCCTCAGACTAGCCCAGGCACTCGGAATAAAGAGAATAAGAATTCGTTCCGACTCAAGTCTTGTAGTTGGATAGATCAATGGAGAGATGGAGGTCAAAGAGGAGCGTCTGGCCTGGTACAGTGACCTAGTCCGAGCACTTCTAAGGGAATTGGAAGAGTTTCGTCTGACTAGGATACCCCGGTCGGAGAACACAGACGCTGATATGCTTTCGAAGTTAATGCAATCATGCCCTGAGCATGTGTCGAAGTTGGCTAAAATTGAGAGTTTAGATCAACCAAGTACTGATCGGTTTGAAATCGCGGCTATCCAACTGGGCCAGAATTCGGCAGCCGGGATAATCGGAGTAGATGATGACTGGAGGTACGATCTCATGGAATATTTGGAGACCGGTCAGAAACCGGATGACGAGGAACGGGCCAGGAAGGTGGTCTTGCGGGCTCCCCGTTTTCAGGTAATCGATGGTCACTTGTACAAACGTGCCATTGGTGGACCTCTCCTACGTTGCCTTACCAACCCGGAGGCTGAACGGGTAATAGCTGAGGTGCATGAGGGAGTTTGTGCAGCCCATCAAATGTCTCGCACCCTGGCTCAAAGGATAATATTGCTTGGCTACTACTGGCCGACCATTGTTGGGAATTGTGAGCGGTATGTCCAGAGATGTAGGACGTGCCAGGTTTTTTACAAACATCCCGGCAGACCGGACACATACTACCAACCAACATCTAATGTCATACCATTTGCCCGGTTTGGGATTGACATTATTGGAGCCTTCCCGGTCGCCCAAGGCGGGAAGAAGTTCGTGATGGTGGCTATTGATTACTTCACTAAATGGGTCGAGGCCGAGGCGATGGCTACCATAACCGTGCGGCAGTGTGAGAAATTTGTTTGGAAAAACATTATCACCCGGTTTGGTGCCCCGAAGATGATTGTTACCGACAATGGTCTGCAGTTTCGTAACCCCTGGTTCACTGAGTACTTGGCTAGTTTTGGAATCAAGCACAGCAAGGCCTCAGTAGCTTATCCACAGGGAAATGGCCAAGTCGAAAATGCTAACCAGACGATAGTGGACGGCCTAAAGAAGAGGTTGGGTGAAGATGGCCATAAATGGTTGGAAGCTTTGCCTCACACGGTCTGGGCGCATAGAGTGACTTCAAGAAGGGCAACCGGAGAAACTTCATTTGTGCTCACTTACGGATGTGAAGCCCGGTTGCCAGTTGAAGCAGAAATTCCAACATTTAGAGAAACCGTGTACCAGCCCGGTCAGAACGAGGTCGACCACCTAGCTAAGTTAAATTTGGTGGAAGAACGAAGGACCCTAGCAGCTGTCAAGATGGCCGGTTACCAGCAGTCGGTAAAGAGATATCACGACAACCGGGTGGGCCCACGGTACTTCCAAGTGCATGATGAGGTCTTGCGCAGACGGGATGCTAGTAAACCTAACGAGAGAGGCAAGTTGGTGCGAAATTGGGAAGGACCCTATCGCATAAAGGCGATCATCCGACCGGGCACTTACCAACTGGAGACTATGGAAGGAAGCCGGGTTGACCGACATTGGAACTCTCATCACTTACGTAAATTTTTTAGATAAAGTGTAATGAGTTCCCTAGGTGTTAATAAAACTTTGTTCTTTTCAGAAAGATTGTCCTCGTACATCAACCGGTAATTGGTCGACACACCCATTTACCCGGTTAGATGTCCAATCGAATTGGCATCTCAAAAAAAAAAAGAGACCGGTCTGACCGATCCTACACCTCATCCGTACTAAAATGGGAGTTAAAACGATTTGACTTGATTAAAGGGAGAGCATCCCGGCCAGTTTAAGTCAGACGTTCTGAAAGGGCAAGTCGAGGTTTACCTTTTCACAAGGGCTTTAAGCGATTGTGAAAAGGCGCCAGGGCAAATACTCGATACGCCATTGCGAGTTATTAACCGACCGGAAGAAAATTAATGAAACTCAAAGTCTTCCCAGTCGACCACCCAGCCTTTCGAAAAGCCTTGGGTAAAATTGTATTTTAAACCGGGTAAATGCGGCCGGGCTGTATTTACTAATTAAACGGTTAAAAATCTTAAGTTGAAGAGAATATAGGAGAAAAACACTTGCAATAATATTTAAGTGTCTTACAAAGGTGCCCGGAGGTAGATCATTACACACGGGAAGTAAACAAAAAAAGAGAAAGTAAAAAAGGCTGGGAAACCAGATGCCCGGGAAAGGCGCGACTGGTGCCTCATCATGCAGCTCAGGCAGAGAAAGAGCCTTGGGCTGAAAACCTTGAATCCGCTGCTCAAGGATACCATATAGAGCCCGCCGTTCATCGTACTGACCGCTTTCGAAACCGTAGGTTCCGATCTCGTTGATGATCCCTGCCGAGACTTCGTGCTTGTATAAACCTTGGAAGAAGCGGATGGCAGTCTCCCGTTCAGGAAGTGCTTGGGCAGCAAACTCCTCAGGCGCTTGGACAGCCCAGGCAGCAGCAGCAAGAGGAGCCCTTTCCGAGCGCTCTTTCTCCAGCTCGTCTCCGAGCCGGGCAATTTCCTCAGCCGACCGGGCGTTCTCGGCCTCAAGCTGTTGGATCTTTGCCTGAGCTTGGTCATCGGCCTCCTTCGCGGCCTTGAGGAGACCGTCATGCTTCGCATACAGCTGACAGTAGACCGCACAATGGTCCATCAGCTTCTCCTCTGCCTTCGCCGCCTTCTCAAAAGCGGCCTTAGCCTCCTTCCGGCATTCGACCATCATGGCCTCCATCCGGGCCTTTTCCTTGTCCCTTGACTTCACCAGCCGGGTGAAGTACTCCTCGCCAATCCGACCGACCTGCTTTAAAGACATGAAGAGTTTTTCAGGAGGGTATCAGAAGCAATAAGAGGGCAGTAAGAAGGGAGAAAGGGGGATTACCTCAGTCAGGTTGGCGCGGAAGGCTTGGAGGAGCTCTTCGTCCGATCTAGACATTAGAGCCATAGACCGGGGCTGGCTTTGCCTTTTGCCGGCATCGGAGGACTGGGCCGCTTGGTGAGCCGGCTGGTCGACTACTTCAGTCTTCCGCCTCTTCCTTTTAAGGGACTCTTCAGCAGCCTCCTCTTCGTCGTGGCCTCCCTCGGCCAGCTGGTTTGCTTGACCAGCCTCCATCAGCTGGTCGAACTCCAGGGTATCTACATTGATGTAGAGTTCCTCGGAGTGGATGGGCTGGCTGGTCCCCTGTTGAGACTGGGCCGGTTGCTCGTCCAAAGAGACTGGTTGGACCGAAGGTTCGCCGAGAAGCTGGGCAGTGGAAGGCTCCTCAACGACGATTTTTGGGGTGGCAAATTTCGACTGGAACTTCACCACTCCAAGAAAAGAAACCGGTTAGAAGAACAACGATATAAAAAAGAAAAAATGAAAGGAAAATAAGGGTAGTTGATTGACCTTTCTCCTTCTTCTTCTTCTTCGCCGAGCGTGAAGGACCGACGGTGGCTGTGGCCAGGGCTTTAGATCCCCTTGCCCTGCTGATGGGGATGGCTTCGGGAATCACCCCAGTCAGGACAATCTCCGGCTCAGGGTCAGTCTCCCGGCCGGGGTAAACGCTCCACTTCCCGACATGGTAAAGACCGCGGGTGGAGGCATCCCCGGCCCGGAGAGTGGTTTCCCAGGCAACCAGGTCATCGGCCTCTGTAGGTTTGACCTGGCGCTGCATTCTTTTCCCCCAGACATTTTGGGCAAAAGGAATGGCAGCCGGGGGGAATTTGATGCAGACGTATTTGTCCTTCCACCTCTTGTTGGAGGGAGGAAGGCCACAGAGAAATGCCCGGCCTTGGTGAGAAGACACCACCACGAATCCAAGGGTCTCCTTGGACCCGGGCCGGACATCGAACATGTGGTCAAAGAGACGAAGGGAAAGAGGAATACGAAGGAACCGGTAGACATTGATGAAGCTGCCCAACAAACGGTGACCATTAGGGGCCAGCTTCCCGGGCATGATACCGTATGTTTCAAGGAAGAGGACTTTGAATGGGTGAATGGAGAATTCGCCCAGGTCCTTGATTGAGTGGTAATGAATACCAATCCACGTACCGGCGTGGAGAGGAATAATGCTCTTCCACGTTGCCCGGTAAGTTAATTGGTACCCGTCCAGCATCAGGTTGCGCACCTCGTGGACCTGGGCCTTCTGCATGACCGACGATTGCATTTGGAGCAACCGGTCATCCAGCAGAACGAAGCCCTCATCCCCAGGTTGGGCAACCGAGATCACTTGCGCCACGGAAGAAGAAGGAGCACAAGTGGAAGCATCAACCGGCTTCTTCTGTGGAGAACTAGCCGGGCGCTCAGAATCAGAGGATGAAGAAGAGGAGGAACCAGAGGTCTGAGCCCGGTCACCAGAACCGTAAGAATGAGCGGAAGGGTTCTGGCTGTCTTCGTGGTCAGACATGACTCGAGGAGGAAGAAAGAAAGAGACTTACTTGGAATAAGAGGACTCGGAGGACTCTGAAGTAGTAGAAGCAGCCGGGCGGTTTTTTAAATCGAAGATTTGCAAGTGAAGAAATCCTAGGGAGGACATCGCTTTATATAGGAGAGAGGCCGCCCAAACGGACAAACGAAAGAATGACACGTGGCAGCTGAAATGATTTGCCATCATAACTTCTCGGGGAGACGAAACGGCACAATAAATCGGCGGCTTCGTACCCGACTTCGAGAAGATTCTCCCGCTTTGGACACCCGGTTTTTGAAATTGCAAAATTCAAATTTCAAATTTCAAATATTTTGGGTTGGCGCTGGTTTTCCGAGATGATTTTCCCGCCAAAAAGCGACTGGGCAGTTCAAATTCCCGGAAATGATCGCATGTGTTTCCCGCCCCTAATGGTCCCCACAGGATCGGGAATCGGAGGACTCCTTGATGGGTAATAACCCAAGGATACCACCTGGTTGGTTCACCGGACTGGGTGGTGATGAAAGTGACAGCACGCGCCTTTCTCAACCCAGGTTATTTGACCGGTTGGATGGGGAGACCGGACGCCAATACCCGAAGATCTATTTTCGAAGTACACCTGGTGGGCCGATCAGCCGCCTGACCGGTTGGATAATCAGAGACGTGCTTGACGTGCTTAGGATTATTACCCGGACACAAATGTTGGTGCGTTTAACAAAAATTAGTTTTACACCAACACAAAATATTGGTGCAAAACTGCGGAGTACAAATTGAGGTAGAAACATTGGGGTACACATAACATAATCTAGTTTCAATTTTAACTTAGGGGCTGTTTGTTTCAGCCTCTTAATGGTTCAGATGTCTGAATGGTTCAGCACTTAATGGTTCAGACTGTTTGTTTCAGCCTCTTAATGGTTCAGATGTCTGAATGGTTAAGAGATTTGCCTCTGAATGGTTAAGTATTATACAGAGTCTGAATGGTTAAGACCTCTTATCTGAATTGATCAGACATTTGCCTCTGAATAGTTAAGTTACTGGTTCAGCACTTAATGGTTTAGACCTCTGGNCTGTTTGTTTCAGCCTCTTAATGGTTCAGATGTCTGAATGGTTCAGCACTTAATGGTTCAGACTGTTTGTTTCAGCCTCTTAATGGTTCAGATGTCTGAATGGTTAAGAGATTTGCCTCTGAATGGTTAAGTATTATACAGAGTCTGAATGGTTAAGACCTCTTATCTGAATTGATCAGACATTTGCCTCTGAATAGTTAAGTTACTGGTTCAGCACTTAATGGTTTAGACCTCTGGTTCAGCAGATTCAGAAGTTGCCAAAGAGCCCTGTAGGACTGTGGGCTAGTCTCTTGATTTCAAGAACCAAACAAAGAATTCTTCCTGAACCTCTGATGGAACTTGAAAACCTCCTTGGATCGAGTGTTCAGCAGGTCCCCGAGTAGGCGGGAGACGGCGGAACTCTGATGAATATTGAGTTACTCGGGTAAGCGAATGGGATGAAACTGGAGGGAGGTTTGAACCGTCTCCGGTGATGCCCACCACTTGTATGAGAGAATACTCCAGAGGGATTGGAGGGACAATGGGAAAACAAGTTCCTTCCTATCAAACAATAAACAATGGGAAATGTGGCGGAAAACAACTTTCTATGGAAATCACTTTCCAATAGAAAATAAAGGTAAAGAGCTCCCTGTATTGACCGCAAGTATCCTTGTATTATCTGTCAACTTTATTTAGCAAGGCAATTCTTATCATACTCCGTATTTCTTGGTTGATTCATTGACAATTTCATTTTTTTGCTGGTTAAATCTGTTTTCCATTTGGTTATTATTGACAAAGAGCATTTCACTCTGTGCCGTGGGAGCATTTCTAGCTAGCTTTAGTTAATTTCCATGGCTAACAAGTCCTCGATAATACTCTCAGGCTTTCTATGGGCTTCTTTGCTCAGTTTCATGGTGTCATTCTTTCCTTTGGCACATTCCTTTAGAAGCACTTGTGATCATCAGCACAGATTGGTCAATTCTAGCTTCAACGTGCTTCCCAACTCGTGAGAACTCGTTATCTAAATACACGTTTTCAATCTTAGAAATGCTGTTATATTTGTAGAGTTATTCACCCATACAAATATGTGTGTGATCCTGCAGGGAAGAAGTCGGAAGACGAAGATCAAACGCCCAAATCAATTTCAAAACGGAGAATATTAATGATATTGGCACTTGGGTGCCATCAGTTGATAACTTCACCTTTCCGGCTAATTCGGCTCCCTTTGCATACTGTGACGCTTCCACTGTTGTTGAGGTTGAGGGGCATCCCACAACTTTCATTAATCTTAACTTGTTCTAATTATCGATCTTTTCAAATTCATTTATAGATCGATACGATTTTAACCTGTTAATGGATACTAGTATATGGATTTAGGTGAGTAAAGATGAATTCTTGGTGGCATATTATGGTGGCTCAGGTGTGGGAGCCTTTGATGTAAAGATTTGGACTCAACGTTACAAGGTCATCTTGCTTTCCTTTTCTTTTCTTTGGATCATACTGTGTTACTCTTCTTCCGCTCTATGTATAACGGCAATCAAGCATTTTCATCACGACTCTTGCTTTCTTCTAATGGCATATTCCATAAAGTTTTTTAATTACATGGTTTAGACTTTAGACTAGAGATTGAGCTAGGATCTTTGTCACTCATAATATGGCACCAACGACCTATTTTGGAGTCCCCCACATGTCTCATTTGACCCTGAACTTCAAGGGTTGCACCGAGACGGGGTGAAATGCCAAATTTTTTTCCATAATTTATAAAGGATTTGGGTGTGGGGATGCCCCCAAGTATCCAACCGGGGATGAGAAGCGGCACCTATTTGATGAATTTGTGCAACATAGCCCCGAAGTGATTCTTAATTTCTTACTTCCTTAACCATCAATCCATCATAGCTTTCAGCCAGCCACCCATTGCCTGGGGGGTGAGCACATGTTAATTTGTTTCCAGTGCTGTCATCATAATGTGGAGTCTCATTTTCAATGAGATACTTGTATGTTTTATTACTGTTGCAGAATGGAGGTTGGAGTCCCCCTGTTGTAGCGGCTGACGAAGCAGATGTCCCAATGTGGAATCCTGTACTGTTCATGCTTCCTTCTCGTGAATTGCTTTTGTTCTATAAAATTGGGACAATGATTCAACTTTCCGGCCAATGTATCAAAACAGACATCATGAGGTTAGTGGCCAAAGTTAATTAGTTTGTGGCAGTGGTGGCCTAGCCTTGCGGGCGTCGGATAAGCGTAGTCGCACACATGTCCTCCAACATTTTGGGGCCCCAAGAAAAGTCAGAGTTCAATATATATTGACTGTAGTTATGCTATTCATACATTTTATAGAAAGAATATTCAGTTAGTATTCCAAATTCACTTTACTATAGTGTCTTAATTTTGGAAAATGAAGTATTAATATTGTAAGATTTACTTCATAGCAAACTAATATAAGCACGCTAAAAAGCTTAGAAGTAAGTGATGTATTATAAACTATAGAGGGCCTAATTTTAAGTTTTGCATAGGTTCCCTGAAAATTTAGCAGCTCTTGTGTGGAGCGGATACATGATGAGATCTTATGATGGCGGTTTGACATGGACAAAAAGAGAACAGCTTCCTCCCGGTATATTAGGACCCATAAAGAGCAAGGTAAGTATGGACCCCTTATTCAAGTAAGTGAAAAATATCTAACTATGACTAAAGCATGCTACATATACCAAAATAGGACCTTCATTATTTTTATACCAACATAGGACAAATTATGTCAACACATAATGCCAAAAACACTGTAAAATGCCAGTTTAAAATGCCAATGTGTGGACAGTGCCAACGCTCCTATGGATTGAAATCTGCTAAAATTCCAGTGTTTAGAGTTTATGGTAAAATCAACCTCTTGCATATAAAGTCGGGATTCACTATCAACCCAAAAGTTCAAGCTGATTGGTAGGGCTTCTCCTTTTTATGTATGCTAGTGGTATTTCATTTCTAACACTCCACCTCAAGTGGTAACTAGCCCAACCTAGTAGCACTTGAACAAATAGGTCGAGCATCTCAATCTCTTTATAGCTAGCTACACAACGGGTTGTGGCATCTCAATCTCTTATAGCCAACTCAACCCAAACCATAGATAGGTAGCTCATATCACTAAACCTATGTTCGAACAATCAGGAAGAATCAGACCCAAACTGCACCTGCTTTGAAACAATTTGTAGGACTTCGGGCACTACCAACCCTTCTAAACCAATTGGTTCTCGAAAAGAAGCATACTCTAGCCTTATAGTGCATTTAATACACACAAACGGTGACGACATTCGAGTGTGACTTGGCGTACTTAGCATATTCCACAAGATAATTAATGCACACATGACCCAGTGAGGCGGTCGCATTTCGCCTCTGAGGCTTAAGACTTAGTAGGGATACCTGAGGCGCACGCCTCACAATGTTGAGGCGGTCTGAGGCGGTAAGGTGTAACCGAGGCGTAAGCCTCACTTTTAATAAGAATTTCAACAATTATAAGGGTTGTTTTTAAGAATCTATTGGGCCTCTTTTACAAAAACTTTTTTGGGCCAATGCACTATAAAGTTTCTTAAGAAAAACTTAATAAATCTAGTAGATAATTATCACTTGTTTCCAATACTTTTAGTGTCAACTTTCGTCTCTCCATCTTCAATTGTACTTCTCTCCATCTTCAGACTTCAATGGCACAATTTCACTCTTGTGGTAATTGCTAAGGCAATTACTTCATATTTAATAGCTTATCTTTCATCTTCTTCTTTCAACTTTTGATTTTTTCAGTTCCTTCTTTTCCAACATCCCTTTCGCTTTTTTAAATTTGGTTCAAACTTCAAAGAATGATGTGAGTTTTTTTCAAGAACTTTTGTCCATATTTAATATTTTTAAGGTTTGAAGATAGGTTTGAGACATTTGTGTTTATGTTACTGTGTTTAATCTTTATAATTCTATTTTTTTGTGTTTTAAAAGTTAAAATAGGGTATCATTTTTTGTAAAATTCAGGAATTATGATTTTATCATTTATTTAACATGAAAATGGATTATGCATTTCGTTTTACCTCGGTGTACATATTTTAGTATTATTTTTTCATATTGAACTGAGGCTTACGCCTCGTTCCGCCTCGAGGCTTACGCCTCAAGGCATTTTGCTTTACTTCCTCAAGGCTAGTTTTTGCCTTTCAAAACCTTGACATGACCAACAATCATACTTGGAGTCTGCTTTCATTGCGGTTGGCAAGAAATCTATTGGTTGCAAGTGGATCTTCTCTATTAAGGTTAATCCAGATGATCGTCTCAAAGCTCGATTGGTAGCCAAATGTTATGATCAAACCTAAGGTGTGAATTATGGTGAGAATTTCTCTACCGTGGCTAAGCTCACTTTTGTTTGCTTTGTCATCTCTATGGTTGTGTGTCATGATTGGCCATTGCATCAATTAGATAGCAAGAATGTGTTTCTTCATGGCGCTCTTGATGAAGAGGTTTATGTGGAGTAACCTTCAGGGTTTGTTGCTCAGGGGGAGAACGAGAAGGTATGTCAGCTACATAAGTCATTGTACGGACTAAAACAAAGTCCTCGTGCACGGTATGGCAAATTCAGCCAAGTAATTGAGCATTTTGGAGTGGTGAAAGGACACTCTAATCATTTTGTCTTTTATGAGCAATCTAGGGGTTGGATCATGTTATTGGTTGTTTATGTAGATGACATCATTATTACAAGGAGTGATTTTGCAGGAATTTCATAACTCAAAACATTTGCCCATAGTCAGTTTCAGTTAAAGGATCTTGGACTGCTGAAGTATTTTCTAGGGGTTGGAGTTTTGCGGAGCAAGAGCATACTGCTCACCCAGAGGAAGTATGTGCTAGATTTGTTGTCTGAGACTGGAAAGCTCATGGCCAAACCAGGTAATACACCTATGGTTCATAACATGCATTTAACAAAAGATGGCGAATCATTTAGTAATCCAGAGAGATACAAGAGGTTAGTGGATAGACTGAACTACTGAGTTGTGACCTGCCCAGACTTTGCTTATCCTGTTAGCATGGTAAGTCAGTTTATGGCATCCCCAACAATTGATCATTGGGCTACAGTGGGACATATTCTGTGTTACTTAGGGGGAATTCCCGGTCATGGTATTGTCTATTCAATCATAGTCACATGAACGTTGAAAGTTATGCAGATGCAGATTATGTATGGTCAAAAGATGATCGTAGGTCCACCTCTAGTTATTGTGTCTTTTATGGGTGGCAATGTGATTTCATGGAAGAGCAAGAAGCAGAATGTTGTCTCTCGTTCTAGTGGTGAGTCTGGACATAGAGCCATGGCCCATGGCACAAGCTGCGTGTGAAATAATATGGATATATCACCTTCTGAATGAAACCGGTTTCAAAGCTCCCATCCCTGCGAAACTATGGTGTGATAACCAAGCTGCTCTTCATATTGCATCCAAACTAGTTTTTCACGAAAAGACGAAGCATATCGATGTAGATTGTCACTTTGTTTGCGAGAAAATACAGAAGAGACATGAGATTGATTAGCAGATCTCCTTACTAAAGCGCTACATGCCACCCGAGTTATCTATCTATGTTACAATTTGGGCATGATAAATATATCTGCTCCAACGTGAGGGGAATTGTTATTCGTAATGATATTAGCATTATGTAATTATGTATAATGAAGTAAACCTCTTATTATCAGTTACAAAATCATAGCAAGTTTTATTTTCATATAAGTTTCATGTTTTAGTCTTGGTCCTGTGCTTCTATATAATTAAGCTGCAAATAATGCTTCTATTCAATTCTATCCAGCCTTTGTTACTAGAAAATAGAACATTGCTTTGTGGATCTTCAGTTGAGAGCTGGAATTCTTGGGGAGCATGGATGGAGGTAGTATAAGGTATAAACTAAACCTCATTGCAACTCATTCATCAACTTTGTTACTTACACATCCAGCCCAATGATATAGTATATAACTGGACGACCTTTTGACTCCTTTTACAGATGACAAGTGATTCTGGTAGAACATGGAAGAAGTATGGACCGATATACATTGAGAATAACACTCTTGGTGTGACCCAACCTGTTCCCTACCATGTCGCAAATGGGACTTTGCGAGTTCTACTACGGTCATTTACTGACTTAAATAAAACTTACATCTCAGAATCCCGTGACAGTGGTCTGACCTGGGATTATGCAACACCCACTACTTTGCCGAACCATAATTCAGGTTTGCAAATGCATATTCACTCTGTACTTTAAGAAAAAAGTTAGCAAAATGATCGACCAAGTGTCACGCCATTCCTATTTATGTATCCATTTCACTTTTGCTTGTTTACTCTTGTGACCAAGAAATCCACAGGGGTATTAAAGCCAACAAAAGTAATTATCACCTTAAAAAGTACTCTTTTCGTCCGGATGTAGTTGCCCCCGTTCTAATGGACGAAGTAGGGAGTACAATTCTGTCGAAATGGAGAGTCATTTTGTAAAGGAGGGAGACACAGTATTGAACTTTATGAGAATTAAGGTGAGGACAAATAGTGGGAAATGTGAACGTGATTTGCGGAGTAATGGGGGATCATAGTGGGAAATGTGATTAGAATTTAGAACCAGGTAGGAGTCACTCAACTACACATTTAGGTCAAACCATTGATTCCAATTAAGCCTTGAACCGTGTCGTGAACAGGATTTGACGGTGTTAAATTGAGTGATGGTCGGCTCCTTGCAGCCTACACCACATTCTCAAAAGAGGTTCTCAAATTGGCACTTTCAGAAGACGATGGAGGATCGTGGCATGATGTTTCAACACTAGCGAATACCCCGGGAAAGGAGTTCTCCTATCCAGCCATCATCCAGGCCACTGATGGATCAGTCCATATCACCTACACCTACAACAATTCTCAGATCAAGGTAACATCCTTTTTTTTATACTCCGGGTATTTTAGTAACTTCAAAAGAAAATCAAGTAAACATGGACAACGTACGAAATCCTGACATATTATACTGTCCGTGTCGTTCCATTATTCCAGCATGCCGTGTTTAAGAAGACCCCTTGATGAAGAAAACTGAGCATATTGCAACCGGATGATCGTGTTTAATTGATCTGAACACACCTTCTCATGGATTATATTATATCTCCCAGCTTTGGTTCCTATATATGCATTATTGTCATAGTAGTTAGGATGGCTTATCCATCTCATCGATCGACTGAATGTGTGTGTGTTGTGGATTATCACCTTTGGTTCGAACCTCTAAAGATAATGTCTTGTACTTGTATGAGCATTGATGATGTCTTTGCAATAGATTATAAATAACACCTAAAAATGTTTGATAACTTAGCAAAATGTTAAAACAGATAAAACTAGAATGTCCTATTGAATTGTTTTTTTTTCCAAAATGTTTGATCCATATTTTGTTTATCATATGTATGAAAGGATCCTTGTTGAGTAAGAACTTTGTTTAAACTAAATTTTCAGTCGAGTTTAATTCAATCATTAGTTACATAAAATTTTGTTTTGTATGATAATACCTGATGAAAACTGCTTTTTCAAGGCGTCGACCCAACGAACTCGATACTGGATCGGCACCGCACCCCAATAGCGAAATCCGAAAAATAAATAAATAAATAAATAAATAAAGCGTAGAGAAAGTATTTATACGTGGAAACCCGAATCGGGAGAAAACAACGGGCCTTTAGGCGGTGCCATGCCAAGAGAAGGAACTTTTATTAATCTCGGAGGAATTTACATATACATCATTGTAGGAGTTTGGACATATTAATGGAGCTCCAAGCTTAAAGAAGAAGAATGAAGAATAGCCGTAGGAAACTTGTAGTCATTTTGGCCTCCTCAACTCCTTCGTACTCTCTCTCTTTTTAAAGGGGGATCCCTCTCAAAAATCCATGTGGACTCCTCTAAAATGTAGGTTCCTCCCTTCCCTTTTCATGCGTAGCTTCCTTTTAAGAGAAGAATAATTAATTGAGGCAAGGACATCTTCTATTTGAAACCCATATGGCTAGCTTTCAAGAGAATTTCTTTGTGGTCCCACAAAATATATTTACATCACTTCAAATATATTCTTCAGTCCATATATCTCTGACCCTTTCTTGAATAATTTATCTGATTTATATCTTGGACCGGACAAAATTAGATTTACTTGTACTGTTCAAATAATATTGGATTAGGTAAAATCCCTAATCCATCAATACCCGACTACAATGAAACAGATTTTTAATAGTTTTTTTTGTAAGATAAGTATTAAAAAAATTATTTTTATGTTAATATTTAATATAAATTATATATAATTAATGATTAAAATTTGTTCACAAAAAAATCACGAAATTGTTCAAAAAAATTGTTCTTGTTTCTTTTATATTTAAATTAAAAAACATACTCCAAAAAAAAATAATCTGTGAAGATAATCTCAGGTCCCACTGTCTCGGCGAGTCAGCCACCCCAAGCGGGGCTCCCTAACTCTCCAATCTCCATTGTTGGGTTTCTTTAATTACTTGCAGAGTTGCAGTAATATATTGGCAATTTGGGCTGGAAAAAAAATTGATTTATGCAGTTCTGGGGAAAAAATTCAGTTAATCAGCGGCGTTTCCGGTTGTTGTGAGATGATATTAGGATGACGACGACAGTGTTTATAGCGGCCGGAGAAGTCTCTTCTCTGTCTCGCTGCTCCGTCGTCTTCTTCAACGCCCCTCCGAGCCCCCTTCTTCACCGGCGGCGCAACCCAGGCAGACTCCTCCGCCGCGTCCATGGAAAACCTCGTCCTCCATCCTCGAATCTCAGTCTCCTTAATCCTACTAACTGGTAAATCAATTATAATCAGCTCTCCACTTTCTGCTAGCTCGTTTTTTAGTACGGAGTATTTCTGATTCAGTTGAATACTCTAACTGGGATTCTAATCTCGAGAAGAGAGAAAGAAAATAGAATGAAAAAGAAACTAATTTTATATGGAATTGGCAATGCTCATTATCAAGTTTCTGGTTTACTATATCATTTTAGTAGTCCATAATCTTTTCCAAGTTACTCGTGGAGTTCTGGACATAGCTTCAAAGAACTGTTTTTTTTTCTCAAATTAAAAAAAAAATATTCTTGAAATTGCACAGTTCTCTTGGAAATGGTTCTTCTTTTGTTAATTGGAAAGTGGTGGTGACAGTGGTTGTTGATCGTTGCCTTCTTTTTTGTCCTCCAGCTGCGATAATGTAATCACTGCCTGCAGAAGTGCAGTAGAGTTTGTCTTGAAAGCATTTGAGAGTACCTCGGGTACCAAGAAAGAGAGAACTCCCTCTGCAAGAAGAGCGGCAGGTATGTTCTTAGCTTCATACCTGTTAAAACACCTAATCGGGAATTCACCCATCTCGCCATCGGATGAAGAAATGGGCCTCCTAACCTTTTTGCCTAGGTTTTAAGATCGAGACTTGTACTGTGGTTCCTATATGTCTACGCGCCTATTTAAAAGTATATAGTGTGCTATATTCTTATGTCATTCACTTCTACATCCACAACGCGTGAATCTTTATTGGGATTTTTGTTTGAACTTTTTCAGCTGCAATTGAGGACACTGGTATCGATTTTGGGGACTTCTTCAAAGGCCCATTACCAGGGAAATTTCTCAAACTCTTGGGGTTTTTGGCATTGTCAAGATTTGGTATATATGTGCCACTTGGTGGAGTTAATAGGGATGCATTTGTTGGAAATTTAGACCAGAACAGTATATTGAGCACTTTGGATTCATTTTCTGGGGGCGGAATTGGTCGACTTGGAATATGCTCCCTCGGTATTGTTCCTTTCATCAACGCACAGATTGTGTTTCAGCTTCTTGGTCAAATAAATCCCAAGCTGCAAGAACTTCAGAAAAGAGAAGGTGAGGCTGGAAGAAAGAAAGTGCTTCAGTATACTCGCTATGCATCTGTAGGATTTGCCATAGTACAGGTAATGCCATTTTTACTTTTCTTCGTATGGTTTGCTTGCACTATGTTTGGTTCAAGGAATTTGGAAAGGGAAAAGAAAAGAAAATGAGAGGAAAAATAATTTTTCATGTGTGGTTAGAGAGGAAAAGAAAAAGTGAAAGGAAAAGAAAAGGAAAAGGAAAAGAAATACTAAGAGGAGGGAAAACCAAATTATTCCTATTTTGGTGAGGAAAAGAAGAGAAAACCATTTTTTTTCTTTTCCTTCCAAATTCCTTGAACCAAACATAGTGTTGGAGAAACAACAATATAAAAAGTGAAATCTCCTTAATGCATAACTATGATAATATCTTCCATTTTTGCATTCAATCTCTACTCTTTGATTTGAAAACTTTAATTCATTTGTGGCAGGCAATTGGGCAAGCACTGTATCTCAGGCCTTATGTGGATGACTTTAACACTCAGTGGGTTCTTTCCACTGTTGCTTTGCTGACTCTTGGTTCAGTATTCACAACATACATTGGGGAGCGAATATCTGACTTAAAACTAGGGAACGGCACGTCTCTTTTAATATTCACAAATATCATCTCATACTTGCCAGCATCATTTGGTAGGACAGTTGCAGAAGCATACCAAGACGGTAACTATGCCGGGCTTGCTGGAATCCTTGTTTCCTTTTTCCTGTTAGTCCTTGGCATAGTTTATGTACAGGTTTGCATTAAACCAATTTCTATATTTTAAACATGAAAAACATAGCAACACGTGAACTTATCCTATCATGCATTTTCAGGAAGCAGAGAGGAAAATTCCACTAAATTATGCCTCAAGATATACTAACAGGACTGGAGGTGTACAGAAATCTGCTTACTTGCCCTTCAAAGTTAGTATGTGTTATCCTTATGACGTTTAATATAGCTATTGCCTGTCGGTACATTTACCAGTTCAATATTTATCTGTGTTAGCCATGGTTTGGGTGCTGTGCGCTTAAAGAACTAGCTATCTATCAATTTCGTTGTCATTGATTATCCTATTATAGTTTCATGGGTGCAGTCAGAATCCCTGAAAATCTGAATTTGGGGTGGGAAACAAAACAATTCATTCATATACATTTTTAACATGTTAGCTTTTAAATGTTGGTAAATCAATACAATAAATACAACAACAGATCCAATAAAAATCCCGTGAAAGTAGGATCTGGGGAGGGTGCGTGTAGATGTTGTTTCCAAGAGAGCACAATCTCCACAAAATATATTTAAAAATAAGTAAATATTCTGCCACTGAGCTCGAAGATTAGACTTAATCAACTTAACTAAACTAACAATAAAAACTTAATGAAGTAAAGAACTACCACACCATTGTTAATGACTAGTGCTACCTCCGTACGACTTCTTTTATTTTGGGATAGAGGGAGCTGTTCTTTCTTTCTGTTCATATCTTACTATATAGTCCAGTCCCTACTTCTGATACATTCTACTGGGTTTGTTTGTTTGTGTGTTTGTTTTAATGTTGAGCAGGTAAATGGGTCTGGAGTTATGCCAATCATCTTTTCTACGTCATCGTTGGCTATCCCTGGTACCCTCGCACGGTTCACTGGTGTGGAAGTGCTTAGAAATGCAGCAGCCGCTTTAAACCCTGGTGGTGAGTATAATGTCTGCCCCACGAAAAAAGTATTTTTTGTTCCCATTTTTACCCCTCTTTTGTATATCATTTTTTGAATAAGGGTGTTATACTTATTTCCGTTCACTGTCTCTCAGTTCTCTTTTCCCATAGCAAATAAACTCTTTTTCTCACATTTTTGCTCTCTTCCTAATTTATCCTTTCGCTAAACCAAGCACACCATCAACGCTTAGAACTAAGCCATGTTTATCTCTTCTCTCTCAGGTTCTTTGTATCTTCCAACAAACGTACTATTGATTGCCTTCTTCAATTACTACTATACATTCCTGCAACTAGACCCGGATGACGTGAGTGAACAGCTGAAGAGACAAGGTGCTTCAATCCCCCTTGTCCGCCCTGGAAAAAGCACTGCTGCTTTCATCAAAATGGTAACAGCCGAACCAAACACACACACACACATCTTTGATGATGACCAACAACATTAATCCACCTTAATAAATCTGGAATTGTGCAGGTTCTAAGTCGAATATCCGTTCTTGGTTCTGTATTTTTGGCTGTTCTGGCTGCTGGTCCTGCGGTGATTGAACAAGCCACACACCTTACTGCTTTTCGGGGTTTTGCTGGCACGTCTGTTCTCATTCTTGTTGGCTGTGCCACCGACACAGCACGGAAAGTGCAGGCTGAGATTATATCCCAGAAATACAAGAACATTGAATTTTATAACATTGACAAAAATGTACCATAATGATAATAATCTCTCCTTTTCTGCACATACTTTAGCAGTATAATTGGCCAAGTTTTGCATTTCTCGCTCTCCATTTGTGCATATAATTCATTTGTTCAGTTATGGATGATTTTAATGCATTATTGTTTCTTATTAAAATAATCCTGTTTTCTTACCTTGCACACTGAATAATCTGTTTGAACAGGAAGAGAAATAATTTTGGGATGAACCAGATAAAATAAGGGGCAGAGGAAGTATAAAATAATGCATTGCAGAGCAATGGGGAGGGAACTTAAGGATAAAGGGAAGCATGTGCATTTGTATTCTAACAAAGATGAGTAATAATAAGAAGTTTGGTTGCCTTCTTCATTGCTCTGCTGAAAAGGAAACACCAACAAGAAAGAACATATAACAGAAACATGGGGGAATTAGAACTCTGTTGAACACAGCAGTGCAAATAATAATGTACGAGTGGTAAACAACAGAGCTGTTGATATCTCAATTCTCCTATATATATCCTATTATAGTACATTCACAAAACAGTTCACATCATATCAGGAGTATAACATAATCACTTCCAAAATCACAGGGTGCGGTACAATTCGGCATGTGCCCACTGCCTGTCCCATAATATACAGAACGCTAATCATCGGGCTCTTCTGAAAAGTCGGGCTCCTCGGGTTTCTGCAATTTAGGCAAACCGACATCTTTGATCTTCTGAGCTCCTCTCCTTGTGTTTGCAGCAAACCTTGAAGCCAATAGAGTGATCCCCAGGTTTGACTTTGCCGTTGACTGCTGATCATTCGATGAGACGGGAGGAGAAGAACCTTTGTCCTTCTCGTCCTCCTCTTCTGTCATCATCCTTTCACTCAATGCAAAAGATTCCATCGCGGCGAGATCTTTTGCCGACATTCTCCTCTTGTGCCGCCTCCAAGCAGCCTGTATGAAGCACGCGGCCCACGTTCTCCAATGGTGAGAGTAGAACCGGAACGTGTGCTGCAACTTCTTGCTGTGCAGCCGTCTGAACTGGTTTGCCACAAACTTGAGATCTTCTGCCCTCAACGCAAAGGCTTCCACCTCAACCAGTGCTCTCACTGTTCTTGTCGAGGAGGGCAAGTTGAGAGTGGATTTCGGGAGCAATGCCCAAGCGAGGAGCTCCTCCCCGCAGAAATCCCCAGGCCTCAACGTGATGGAGTTGAAGAAACCGGTCCGGCCTCCATTGGTGGTGGAGCTCTCAAGCCTCCCTCTTATGATGAACAACATCTCTGCAACCGGATCGCCCTCGCGCACAATGTAAGTGCCCTCTGTGCTCAAGCATGAGGCTACGCGTTCGCATATGGCATCTAGTAGTTGGTCATCCATCTGAGAGAAGAAGGGTACCTGGCCAATTGTGATGTGCAAAAGAAAAGGAAAAAAATAAGACACCAAAAAGAAAATAAAAAAATTTAAAAAGCGGGATTTTTATAAGTTCTTCAAAATCTTCTTCATACACGCCGAACAAGGTCGAGGCACAGATGTCGTTGAATATCACGGCGCAGATCAGAAGGTAGGCCGTGTAAAATTGTTTCTTCGTCTACTCCTCGAGTCGCAGCCCATTTATATTGAACAAAACGCCTCACACGTTTTTTCAAGTCTTCCGGAAGTTGGCGGTGCTGCATCCACTCTTCAGTGTCTCTTCGCTTTAGTCTCCATTCCTCAAGCCTCACCGTCATAGATTGCAGGTACGTCTACATTTTCAAAAATATATCAAATAATTAAAAGATCAACGGTGACTGGTTAAGATGGCATAGAAGAGAACATAAACTAATTGCAAAACCACCTGAAGAGTATCTTAAGATATTTTTCAGCTCACAAAGTAATTTCATATTAGTTCTCAACAGATCAGAAAGATGTTCACCAAAGGGCTATTATATTCCTCTTTTACAGGGTATAGATACAGGAAACATACAGTGACCATGCATAGTAAAAATCAATCGACAAGACTGAAAGTGGACAATTCCTGGGCAATGACATCATGGAAGTGTAACTAGAAAGGAGAAAGATCAAATTGTGAAAATTTTACCTGCATATTTCCGATGAGATGCGCGAATAAAACAAGACCGAAAATGGCAATGAGTATGGCAAAGGATGTCTCTCCAATAAACGTGCTCGTGGACAAATTCTGCCCGTAAGAACTGAAACCACAAATGGAGGCTTGTGAAGAATTACTTATAACTTCTTTCATCTTAAACAGCCAATCAACCACTAGTTCAAGTAGGCACGTGTAAAAGCTTTTCTATTGATTGTATTGCAACAGCTCCTACTCTATGTTTTGTCATTTGTGCACCAAACATCAACATGTGCTCGCTTTCATAAGAAGCCGTAGCCTTTTGATCAGTGGTTATCATTGTCATCCATCAACAATCATGAAGTGATACAATTACTCAAACAATATAAACAATATTTATAATTTTATATTAGGTGCATTGCCAAGTTCTTATTTTTTTCTGAACTCTTGCTTCCTCCATTACTTTACTATATCTCCTTTTGCCTAGTAGGTAGTGTCAGTATGTGTGCTTCTCGAGTTTGTGCTACTCACTTTGTCCGTGCTAATGTGTTTAGTCTACTTGACATTACTCTGTCTACGCTTTTTGTGCCAGAGTATTTTGGAAACGGTCTCTCTACTTCAAAGTAGAAGTAAGGCCAGGGTACATACACCCTCCCTAAACCCTACTTTTAGTCAACAGTTTCAATGACCTCCACATTTTTCAGATTAGACAAGCATTGTCCGAATACAAATATACAATGACTAACATTACACAATGGCAGAAAAGATATCCCCAATAATTAGCATGATATGTGGAAATGAAAAATTACCTGAGGTTCTGTAATCCCCACCACAGGCAATAGAAGTATTTCTGTAGAAAAGTCGCAGAGACAACATTTTTTGTAACAGCACTTTCAAATATGCCATATTTGAAAGTAGTGCTGTCTCCATTGGGATCACAAGTTTTGAACACGCTAGTGATATTTGCCCACGTCTTGCGCGCTTCAAGGTCAAATGTGTCACAGTCCAAGTACCGAGACACACATCCGGTGATATTCCTTTCATCTCTACAAGTCGATCTCCAACAAGATGTATACCGATCAACTGACAACAAATACCATGATGCCCCTAAGACCTGAAGAAAATCAAATCTTGCCTCGCCATCATGTACAAAAAGAGTCATATCATTTCAGAAACTCGGATCTAAAACAATTGAGCTACATACATGGCTAGCCAACATGTAGAGAAGTAGGTTATAAGCAGCCCCAGCCCAAGCAGTTTTCGTGACAACTCCAGTGGCTTTAATGATCTGTGAACTTAGCGGGAAAATAAGATATAGCCTGGGAATATATTGGATTAGGACAATCAGTGCAAGGGCATTGTTATTATGATTAGCACGTTGACTTCTCGTTGCTGGTATAATGAACCATATGACAATCTGCATAAGCAACATACGATAAATATCGCTAAACTAACAAAGAAAATTTAAAAATATGAGTAAGGTTAATGATCTATAGCATTTGTACCTTACTGAAGTACGTCCAAGAGTTGTACACTTGTACCTCAGTCAGATATGACTATTTTTAATGTGGATAGTAATATTTACTAACATGTGATAGCAGCAAAATTAGAGTGTATATTTTCAAGTTTACATTCATAAGTGAACAAGTTTTTTATTGGCAAACATTAAATGTATCCATCTTTTTTACAATTCAGAGGCAATCCCAAGTTATGACTAGCCCTAGTTATAGAGGTTATTCTTGTATAGAGGCTTTACTCTACAAACAAACAAATAATCCATAAGACATGATAACAAAAGTCAGTATTTAGTAGCATGTGATAACAGTACCTGCGGGAGAGGCAAAGTCGCAATAAGGTCAATGAAGAAATCGGTTCTTAAATATCTTCGGGCAATGTCCTTAGGATCCATGACAAGCTCACCTCTACCAAACACCCGAGTGTTGGGGGCAACGTAAGCAGTTCTAAACTTAATGCCCACATGCAACAAATAGAAAAAATCAGCGATAGTACGGAAAATGGTGACCACGATTCTAAGATTCAAGTCAGTCTTCACACAGGTCAGATCTTTAGTTCCTCGGATAATTGGCAAATAAAAATATAAGGGGTCAACGAACAACGCCAGCAAGCAAGATATAATGAACCCCCTGTTCCAGTTCAGCACAATGTCACTGCCCGGATCAAGAATCCGCTTTCTCAACGGCTCTTGGTTCTCCGGGTACACCTTTGAGCTCCCAAACTTATGGGTTTCATTGGGTTTATGGTTTCTGCCAGAGCTAGAAAACTTATACCCAGATGACAATTTCTCTAAGCTTGAAGGCTCATCAGCTTCTCCTCTCCATTTTTGCTTCTTTCCACTGGAGTAGAACCTAAAATTTTTCAAAACCCTTACCTCAATAGAAGCAGAACAATTGGAATTAAACATTTCAACAGCAATAGAAAAGGGGGGTGCGGGGGAAAACCTTAATTTGACTGTACTAAAGAAGAACCTTTAAATAACTTTAATTAGCTTTTATATTAGAAATTTCTCCTAATCTCTAAGCCAAAGAAAATCAAGAATCGATCTTTCTTCAGTTTCTTGTTTCCAAGTTCAAATCTTTTCTCCATCCCGTGAAAAAGAAATCAAAGAGAAACTTCTAAGCTCTAACGACATCAAGAATTTAGCAGCACATCCCTAAGAAGGCATCATCATCAACATACCTAACAATCTTCTCCTTCTTCTTCATCTTCAGCTCAGTGTGAAATGGTTTATGGAAAAGTATGAATGAATGGAGCTCAATAGAAACTGACGGAAGATGAAATCCCAAAAGTACCCTTTAATCAAAACAGTAATAGAGCAAACCGAAACATTGTCGTTCTTGGTCATGTGGGTTGGATAACGAAAACTTTTTCCCGGATCTGTGAGAAGAAATGCAGAGAATATGTTTTTGTTTTCCGAGGAATAATTTGGAATACTCCGTGCATTACTACAGCAAAGATTTGTTTTTTGGGAAGGATTATTACAGCAAAGATTAGCGCTAATATACTCTGTCTAGTCTTTGTTTGTTGACTTTTAAGTCGGTCTTTTCTTTATGTCTTCTTTTTTTCTTTCACCTTGTATTTTTTTGGGATATGCTAGGGTACACCAA